AGAAAAAGATTAGTGTGTTAAGTTAGCAAATAATGATTACTACATTTCGTCTGTCGGTAAATAAAAGATACTGATAATACAGGTGACATTTAGGACTGATCGTGAACTGATGCTAAAGTACGCTACCACCGGTCGCAATTTAACGATAATCGGCGTGTCTTTCATGTACATCGCCGGCATCGTTTATCATATGATTCTGCCGTTTTGTTCGGAACATAAAATAAACAATCAAACCATCAGACCACTCGTGTATCCGGTTTATAGTAAATTTTATCAGTCTCAAATTAGCCCAATATACGAACTCGTATACGTAGCGCATTGCATGTGTGGATACACTACATGTTCGGTAACAGCCGGTACGTGCGGATTAGCCGCTCTGTTCACTACTCACGCCTGCGGCCAGATCCAAATGATTATAGCACGATTGAAAAATCTCTTAGACGGTGACAAGTTCGAGCAAACCCTCAACGTTCAACAACGAATCGCTGCCATTGTGAAGGGCCACGTTCGAGTAATAAGGTGTGTAATACCTTTAAAATTGTTGTATATATAAAAATTGAAAAATACACTTTGTATCAATTTGATCCTAAAATAATTTTTAAAAAATCAGGATTATTTAATAATATACTAACAATTTCATTTTCATATAGTGCAGTCTATAGTTCCATATACACATAATTATTTTAGCAAAAAAATAATTTTACTATTTTTAATTTGATTTAATACTAAAAAGTTGAACTGCGTAAGTCTCTTCATGTAATTTGTTTCATTATTATTACTTTGTTGCACAAAAAATATAATAAAGAATAAGTGCGCAACAGGTGGTCTCAGCAAGCCTTCAGTACGTTCTCGTAGATTATTATTCCGTTGCACATGTCAGATTGTAGGTACAGTTATAGGCACAAGCTTACTTCTATCATACAGCAAAACATATAATTACATGGCTAATATCGTAAAATTAAAGAGAATATATTGTGATTTTTTTTTCAAAAACTAGAATAACTTCTTACAGATTTGCGGCCGTTATCGAAGAAGTTTTACAAGAAGTGTGTTTAGTGGAGTTCGCTAGTTCTGTTTGCACTATATGTTTGCTCGAATACTACTGTATAGTGGTGCGTTAGTATGTATACAAAATTAAAAAAAAAAATTATATTGAAAAAAAGAATACTTTTAACGGCAAATCCTGTACAATTATAGATATTTGCTTACAATATGCAATTATTTATGTTTTGTTATTTGTTAGGATTGGCAAGCGGATGATAGAATTGGTTTAACGACTTATTTCATGCTGTTTGTTTCGCTTTGTTTTAATATATACATATTATGCTATATTGGCGAGCTTCTTATGGAAAAGGTATATTTTTGTTTCACTGATTATACAATGCTTAATTTAGATGTTCGCACTGAATAATCATTTGTGATAAATGTTACAGAGCAGTCAAATTGGATCGATATGCTTTTTGATTAATTGGTATGAATTGTCACCAAAATCAGCTCGCAGTCTTATATTGATACTTGCCATGTCTGGCCATCCTATAAAAATCACTGCTGGTAGAATGGCAGATCTGTCACTGACAACTTTTGGAAATGTAAGGCGCTATACGTTTCATTGTGCACTACAATTCTAATTTTATCTTCAAAATTGAAATAAAACTCACAATAATTTTATAACAAATAACTAAAAAATTGAAAAACTGTTTCACGATTCTTTTACATAATAATATTTCATTTAAAAATATGCAAACAGTTAAAGCATAGCTGTAAAATCATATTATTTTAACATATTTCTTTTAGGTACTAAAGACTAGCTTGGCATATCTGAGCTTCCTACGAACATTAGTAATGTAAATATAATTCGAATTATATGACATATAAAAAATTATTTTGAATTCAAAGCTAGCATATCCATTAATCAAGAGACACGGGCTGCGTTCCCATTTCGTCTCACTCAGTGCAGTATCCAGTGGCCGCCATTTTGCTGGATACTGCACTGGAGAAGCGTTCCCAAATTACTGGACTGGCTAGTGGCTAGTGACAGCCTCGCACACGTATTAGCTCATAACCTAAATAAAATTGTTAGTTAATATGTAAATAGTGTTGAAGCAATTATTGCTAGTAAAGATTATTATATCGGTAAGTAAATATTTCAATTAGCAATGTATTAATAAGTGTTAGCGTTATTTTTAAATATTATAACGACGATTATTACCGATTATTTGTTTGTATAACTTCACATTTAAAAACAATAAATTATTGTATATAATGTTTATTGTATATAATTATTGTACATAATTTTATTTTTTCAGTACACATTGATTTTTTTAATTATTATTATTATCATTATTATTATTATTTATTATTTACATTTCCCGGCCGACGACATTCTGAACGAGGTACGATTATCACTAGTCAATCCAGTAATTTGGGAACGCTTCTCCAGTGCAGTTTCCAGCAAAATAGCGGCCACTGGATACTGCACTGAGTGAGACGAAATGGGAACGCAGCCACGGTAGTTCAAGAGACACGGTAGTGTCTCGCGCCAAGTTCACGCGCAGCGCAAGACCGACCGTGTATCTTTATGCGAGCCCGAAAGTTGAGACGAGCCGAGATTATCGGATCTCAATAACGGCTGGGCCGATTGAGTTGTTATTAGGCTCAATCGATAGCGCATACCCAAATTATATAAGAAAAGTATGCTTGTTTTTACTGTAGGTGCTGTAGAAAAAAAGTTATAATAATCCAAAGTCGAAATGTCTAAATAATAAAATATAAAATTAAAATAATATACGATAAAAATGACCTGCTAAAATGTCCAGTTTCCGATTTCTGACGTTAGGTGCGCTGATGGCGCTGAGAAGCCGCGCGGCGCGCGCTTACGTTGGCATTTGCATTTATTTACATTTACATAACCTTTCAGTTCAGAAAGTGTTAAAATAAAAAAAAAGTGATAATAGTGAATTCGGTCTAACAAATTTGGCCACTCGCACTATGCACACTTAAGACTGCTTATCCAGAGCAGTGTAGTGCGAGTGACCAAATTTGTTAGAAATTCGTATTAAGTGAAATAAGTGTATAAGTGTTGCGACAACTTTTCCGTCGGGCAGAAGTTCATCCGCCGGTAAGCGTGTCAAACCTCGTTGCTCTATTTACTTGATTTATTAATTACTGCAATACTTATAGTTGGGCGCCAGCACAGACTTCTATAATATAGGCTAGACTGCTAACTCGTCTCTTTAACTGTTGCCAGTAAATATTTACATTTCTCGCGTATGCGCAGTATAAGCTTCAGGCATGCGCAGTCTGATGTTTTATATACTTGAGAAAGAGATATATATCGAGTGTGTAAAATTATCAATTATACATTACATATTAATTTAACATGCTTCATTAATAATAATATATATAAAATGACTAATAATATTGTATATAAAAAGTTTTTTTTTACTTGTATTTTTTTATTTATCCTTGTTATATCACAAAGGAGAAATATATATATTTTTTCCATAAAAAATTGAAAAAAAAATTTATCATTTTAATGTGTAATGTATTAATGTGTAAAATTAAAATTAGATATTTAAAAATAAATATATGTAATAGGTG